CCCCCACCCGAACTTTAGGAACGCTAGTCTTGGTCTGTTTGCCGAGGACACAGTCGTCACAAAGGGGAGGCTGAGTAGAAAGATCAATCGGCATACCAGTTGCATTGCCGGAGCGTGCAAGATCGTACACAGCACGGTAGTGGGCATGTCCCAAGCGGCGGTGCCACGACTCGAGTGTGGGCTGACGCTGTGCGAGGAAAGCGTGGTCCGCAGACAATTGCCCGCCAGATAAGGCGTAGAGGCGACGAGAAGTGAGGCTACCAGTGAGCATTCGAGTGCCGCTGCGGGCCTGGATCCAACAGGAGTCCGCATTGAAGGAAGCAATGCAGCGGTGGGCAGTGCAAAGAGCAGAGACGGAGACGAGACGCACAGTTGCAGTGGGAATAAAAAGGACGTGCTCGATGGTAAGATGAATGCCTTTCGCAATGATAAGGCGGATAGAGCCGATACCGATGGCCTGGATGGACGAGCTGCCTACACCGCTGACGGAACGAGGTGGGATAGGCTTCAAGGAGTAGAAGTCCGACTCAATGTTACTAATGTGAACAGAAGCGCCACTGTCAAGGAAGAAAGGGACGATAGATGGATCAATGACAGTACACTGACGTTGGTTGGGAGCTTTGTACGTGAGTCCTGCGAAATTGACGTCTTGAGTGTGTTCACGCCAGTCCATGCTGGTCTGTAAGTCCCCAACGGCAGCGAATAACGCGTTGTACTCCTCGTCGTCAGAGCCAGGTAGGCTATCGATACGAGCTGATGGAAGAGGATCAAACGCGAGGCCCGCAAACTCTTGTGAGGTGGTGGATGAAGAGGTAGTAGCAGGTGCAGAGGCCATATATATGGCCTCCCCAGTCTCACCATCAAGTAAGTAGGCGCGTCCTCCTTGGTCATAACGTAGGCCCCCTGGCTTGCCTGTAGCAGCAGCAGCTGACTTAGTAGCCGGTTTGGCGTATGACCCCCCCTTGGCTGCTGCAGCGTCCCTAGCAGTGCGCTTGCGCGCCAAGACTTCGTCACGTTTGCCTTCCATTGCACCACCTTTACCAAAACAGTCCTTGGCAAGGTGGCCCCAACTACCACAGGTTGCGCAGCAAGAAGAGTGCCCAGCAACATTGCATTCAGAGCACACTTTGCCGGGGCGCGCGTCACGACGGTTGCCTTTGGCAGAAGCTACCATAGCGACGTCGGGGGAACCTTTGAGCTTCTCAGAGTCGAGTAGTTGTTGTTCGACGTCAAGACGAGACCGAATATTGGAGGGGCCGTAAGTAGAAGTGGAGGTGCTCGTTGCGAGGGCGTCAGCAATATGGTTACGAACGTGAGGAAGATCATCTGTCATGGCGTTTAACATCATGATCGTAAGGAAGTCATCCTCTTTCGGTAATCCGATCGCATATATGCGTCTGACGAGGTCATTAAGCTGAGTGCTCGTGATGGAGAGTCGGTCAGTGCGACGGTAACGAACAGCGAGAGCTTGCTGGATGAGAAGAATCTGCGCGATGGGACTGACTTTTTCATGACGTGCCTTCAACGCGGTCCATGCCAAGAATGCATTGGTGAAGGGGCGCAAAAATTCCTGTTCTTCGGAGCTAGAGCGGGTGCGTAAAGCCGCGATAACGCAGAGATTGTTGAGGTCCCATGTACCTGCTCCGGCGAAGTCGTTGGCAGGGTCGGGGCGTGAAATGACACCAAGTAAGTAACCGCCGCCGTGTTTAAGAAGCAAATAGTTCTGCAACTTATCCGACCAAACCCCCCAGTTGTTCTGGCTGCGATCGAGGATCTCGATCTTCTCGAGATCGGTCTGGCTAAGGGTGATAACGGTGGTAGAAGACGGCATGATAGCAGCAGGAGTGGACGTGGGTGTCAAAGAGCTCTTGGAACGAGTATGGGGCTGCAGTTTATTGGGTTTTGACATTACCAGTGGTAGTGGTTCGAGGTCAAGGGGCAAGAAAGACGAGGGGCGGCAAAACGGGAGTCTATGCCTGTATATATAGTCGGGGACGTGCACACGAGTCTCAGTTAGGAGTGCTTCTTGCCCGATGTGGAAACCGATGAACGACGAATGGATATGTCAAGGTATACCGGTGAACAATGTTGCACGCCGATGACGTGCAAGTTCGTAATGTGCTTCTTTTCGAAGCAACAGTGTCTAGGTGGTTTCCGCTCGCTTGTATTATGAGTGAGCAGGGCTCATAACCTGTTAAAACTAGACACTTATATCAGTATCCCTCAGTCTGATATGACGGACTAAGATTGCTTGTACCTAGACACTTATATCAGTATCCTGAGTATGTATGTAAGTGATCTAGGTGCGGCGTGATAACAATGAGTGACTTACCCTCAGTCTGATATGACGGACTGAGGGAAAGGGAGGGAAGCGGGAAAACCAAACAAATATACTAAATTATCGTATTCCAAAACTCATACTCCGACCGCCGTGGTCACGTCGTTCACATGCGCAGCACCAATAATTGTTTCCCACACTCAGACTATTGACCCCACATCACTCACTGACCCCCAAAACTATTCCCAGACCACAGACCCCTGGGTCGAACGCACTTGTCTCACCAAGTATAGCAGACTAGGCAGTGCAAGACCACAACATAAAGATATCAGTTTGGAGCCATCTTTGTATTGCCCCACTCTGTGTTGTATTCCTACACCGGAATGCAAAGTATATCAATTTCAGCAGAGACGGCTAGCTGGAGTAATTTTCGTGTGAGTATTGGCTCTACATCAAAAAACTATGTGACCTACAGTGCTAATTGATGTCAGGATATCGAAGACATGAAGTACCTGGTCGTGATAGTCAGTCCAGAACAACTGATGAAGGCAGGAGGAGAGTTTGAAAAACTGCTGCGCAAACCTGAGTTTGCTTCAGAGATCATTGGATTTATCTTTGATGAAGCGCATTGTATCTAGGGATCTGCACGGGTACGGGTAACCCGCGCGGGTCACGGGTACGGGTACTACTGGGGTACGGGTACGGGTCGGGATTCTAAGACCCGCGCTCTTACCCGTACCCCAGCTATACCCGTGCCTTCTATAAATGGTAGCACCTCCTGCATCAGTAATAGCGGACGCCATACTTCCCACGTGCACGCTACAACCGGCACCACCACCAACACCAGCACCTAACGCGCCTTCCCAAGTCCACCAACTCCACGTTCACAGCGCGCGCGCCCGAAACGCGTCAACAAGTGTTGACGCGATGCAAACACACGCGGACAACACGTGAAGACGAAAGGACAAGAGAATCGAGGAAGGGAGAAGGGATGGTATAGAGATGAAGGAGGAAAGAGGAACTCGAGGAGACGAGACTTTGGGCATGCTGAAAGTGAGTACTCACATTGAAGACTCTACCCCCAGCAACAACAATGACGTCATACGCGTCACGTTGTAGAGACTCATGCCTCTCATGGTGTGATATGGCACTTTTCACTAGGGAGTTCATTGCACGAACTTGCAGCACCATTCTGTGTGCTATCTGCAGCTATCCATATATGAGGCGCAGCTTTCCCGCGCAATGCGCGCCATGCGCGCACCATTCCCGCGCTTTACGATGTATACGCGCGCGCGCTTTCCCGCGCTTGGTCGCCCTATAGCGCCAGCCTTCTGGAAGCATCCATCCACTGTCCACCAAGCTCTCTAGTGTGTGTATTTCCATTTCCCTTATTTACATATCATTCCACCTTTATTTATATCATGGACCCTTACTTACATATAGCTTTACATACCTTACTCGGTAGCACTTCGGCTCCGCATGACAGCGCTTAGGCGCCGTATATAAGTGCCAGCATTACATACTATTAGGAATTTTCCAACTTAGACTTGACCTCCCACTTACCACCCACATACTACCTAGGAGAACATAGTAGAAATCTATTCTTTGACACCTCGCGCTCGTATCTCTTGTCTAGTATCTAATCACCACTTAAGCAAACTCACTCTTACTCTCACTCATTACCACTCACGCGCGCGCGCTTCCCGCGCCTCGCGCGCACCTGCGCGCTTTCTCGCGCTTCGCATCAGCCAACCAGTAGCGCCTTCGGCGCGCACTACTAGATCCTTGCTGCACTCGCTTCCCCTTTAGGGTCGAATGCACTTGTCGTCTCAAGTATAGCAGACTAGGCAACGCGCGACCTTACAACATTTACAGATACAGTCAGGAGCTTCATTTGTTCCTCTCAGTATTGTTGTTTCTACAACGTCGCCAGCGCCTATCTTTGTGCGCCCAGCACTCGCACCACCACCAGCTTTCACGCCAATGCCACCATCCACGACGCCAATGCCACCATCCACGATGCCAATGCCACCATCCACGATGCCGACGCCACCATCCTCGACGCCAATGCCACCATCCACGACACCAACACCACCAACACCACCATCCCATCTACGACGCCAACACCTACGCGACACACTGACTCGCCAGCATCAAGCGTACACGCTCAGACCATGCCAGCGAATGCTGGCGTGGCTCGAATGCACACGGAAGACACCAGGACGAAGAGAGAAGGAAAAGAGGAGGAACGAGAGGAGGAAGGAATGATCTTGTCAGTAAGTCGCCGTCCTGACTCTGCCCCCATTTTCTGCAATGAGGACGCGACGCCTGACACATCACACTCTCGCGCCACCACACCACCATCTCCCATTTCGACACGCTCACCTTCGACTTTGATCGTATGCAACACACCACCTGCCACGACATCAGCGTCTATTTCGACGCGTCCGTCATTCGCGCCGTGCCTCCACTCCTCCTTCTTGTGCCATCCACATATGTTCGAGTCACGTCAGCATTCGCTGACGTGTGCTGGACATATGTGCTAAGCACTGGTGGTGATACCTATGGTACCCGCGGGTAAACCCTGCACGGGTGCGGGTATGGGTCTGAGCTTGTTGTACCCGCCGAAAACCCGTACCCGTCAGAGCGGGTACGGGTTTTTGCCGGGTGCGGGTGCGGGTCAGGTCCCCGACACCCCAGGGTATACCCGTGCGGATCCCTAGGTGGCCCACCTACCTATGCGAAGATGTGGAAACTCAACAGCTGCACTCCTGGTATGATAGCATTTGGTGTGACTTCGGTATGTGTCGATGTCAATGATTCAAAGGCACTATCTGACTGATATCATATTCGGTAGATAATCTTCATGCTATCCCCAAATCAAGAATTCTCCGGGGATGGTATTGGAGCCATTTCTTCGATCCCTTACCACACCATCTTCCGCGCCGTGAAAAGATTCTTCATCGTCAAGTGGACCCATGAACGCATCAAAGCCATTGTGGGACAAATCAACGGTTATGTCTTTGACAATGTTGCTCAGACAGAGGAGGACGATACCTCAGGCCAGCCTGAAGACATGGTTGATCGTGTCATGGCAGCATTAGACGATTCAGATAGCAGTTCGGATAAAGACCCCGTTGGCTCTGACAGCCTTCATGCGCACCATCCTACCATCGTTGAACCAAGTTCTTCGACCACCGCATCATCAGGCTCAAATACTGTTGCAGTAGCTTCTCCCCTGCAACACGAACCCCCCCTGCCTTCTTATGTCGCGCCATCAATCTCAACTCAGGGTGCGGTACTCAATCCTGGATCAAGTGCTACAAGTTTGGAGTCTGCCTTAGCTGCTACAGTGATAGCCGCACCCCATCTGGAGCCAGCTATTGAAAACTCCGTGGCTGTCACTACGAAGTCCAAGGGACGTCGGGGAAAAAGTCAGAAGGTTGATTTAACTGGGCAAGATGTTCGCCGTTCCTCTCGTCATACCGTCTCTACTAAATAGTTCTCGTCACTTTATTGACGCATCTTGAGCTTTCAGACTAGCCTCCTACCTATTACCATACCGACTCCCATGTACCAGTCAGCGCTCGAGTTCAATCGATATAGGTCGCAAGCAATCATCATTCTATTTGGTCGTTATCACGCAGATTTACACCCTTTTTTTCTGACTGTGGCTCTTGAGACACTATTCTTGAGGTCTCTGACAGATTCAGAAGCAGCACCGAATGACGGACAACGAGGACGAAGAGATGGCAGATGCAGATGATGACGACGAGGATACTGATCTTAATGAGTGATACTGACTTATTTTCTTCTTTTACTCACAATGCGCATTTACTAGGACTCAGATGATGAAGACACAAGCACGCAGGTCATCCTTTGAAGCCAGGTATTGCTGTCTCTCTCCCTGCGTTCGCGCTGATCCCGAGTGTGCTGCAGGAGCTCAAGACATTCCCTTCATACTCTGCCAGATCCGCCATCAGCCACACCTTCGTATTATGACCATCGCTAACCTTCGCTGCCCTCATATTGCTCCAGCGACTCAAGGCGCGTTTTCCCACTGCTCGGGGTTCTTCCAGTCACCATCTTTTCGTGTCCGCTTTCATGCTCGCATCAAAATCCTGGAGTATTGTGACGCAGGGCATGTTCCAGCTGCGCGAAATTAACCAGATGGAGCGCGAGATGTGTCAGTATCTGGAGTGGGAATGCTGAGGGAGTTCGAGGACATGGTCAAGAAGGATTTCGTAGGTCAGTCCTTACCCGACTTACACTCTCCCTTCCCCCTCAAAGACAACCCCTCCTCCTACCACAGATCCCTTTCCATCTCCTCCAGCTGATTTGGCACCCACGCCTTCATATGGCCATCATTATCCTTCACCACCAAAGCCTCCATACTCTGCCGGGCCCGCCATCAGCCACGCCTTCATATCACCATTGCTAACCTTCGCTGCCCTCGTTTTGCTCTAGCGACAGAGCGCGAGATGTGTCAGTACCTGGATCTGGTAACGCTGAGGGAGTTCGAGGACATGGTCAAGAAGGATTTCGTAGGTCAAGGACCTTACCCGACTTACACTCTCCCTTCCCCCTCAAAGACAACCCCTCCTCCTACCACAAATCCCTTTCCGTCTCCTCCAGCTGCTTTGGCGCCCACACCTTCATATGGCCATCGTTATCCTTCACCACCAGGGCCTGCTTTTCCTCCATACTCTGCCAGACCCGCCATCAGCCACACCTTCATGATACTTCCTACCTCCTTCAGTCACTTTCACAATGTGCACCCCGGCATATGGCAGATTGCACTGCTCATTATCAGGTACATCATGGCCATCATCATCATTAGAATTTTCAATCCTAGCCTCTTACACGCTCGTTTTCCGAGTCACCTCTACCTCAATCTCTTATTTTACTAATTTTAGGTCTATCATGATGACAAACCGATCACATGATCATACATTTACATGGCGACGGGATGACTCATGTGTCATTATGATACTCTCTCACTGTAACCACCATCTCTACTTGAGTTCATTCTCCCAACCTCGCTTTCAACACGCACCTCTGACTTACTATTTCTTCACTTCTCTTCAGAATGAGCTGATGCCAGGGCAACTCAGAATCAACGAGGTGTGGAGGGACGGTCAGTGAAATGCATTAACATTTGGCTTCATTTGCGTGTTTGACAGTGAGGTGAGTCTTTTTTTCATTCATTCGCACCCTTGTCTGATTATACACGAGCACCCTTTCCACTACCCATATCTGCGACTGTCTCACTTTTGTTGTCCAATGACTGCAATGTCACTGTCTCGCTCTCTACGCCTGCCTTACCCGTGTCTGACCAGCTGAAGACAAAACCCATCTGTTGCGGCCTCGTGCAATATCCTTCAACGTTTGGTCCAAACTCCCTTGTCCACTCTATCATGACGTGTATCGCTTGATGTGAGTCACTGGCTTTTTCTTTTTTGTTGGCTCTTTCTGACCGAACGCCAAATGCAGTCAATCGTTGAGCACAAGCCATGAACATTTTGCGAAAATACATGGCAAGCAAGACGACCTCTCGCCTGGATAGAGTCATACAGCATTTTGAGTTGGTCCTGGGGCCAATGTCCACTTTCCTTACCTCGTGTTTCTTACACCATGTACAGTTGTTCTGCCATAGTGGAAATGTCATTATAATTTTTTGCAGAATTCATATTTAGCATGATAGTAATGCTCATCGAATCCTTAATAACGAGATCGTCACAATTCAGTCAGAATGTTGTTGGAATGAAAATGAAATTGTCACGACGTTGAGATGAAAATATGACTTAGTTGTGACGCCATTAAAATGATAATAAAATCTGAAATGCTCATCACATCCTTCTTATGAGACTGGTCAGAATGTCATCGAAATACAATTGTTATGGCATGGAGATGATGTTGTGACTCAATTGTAATAGCATTAAAATCTGCATTAAAATAACATGATAATGCTTATTAATATGTTGACTGTTTGATCATAATCTATTATAATTGGGCCGTGTCGTTAGGCCATTGTAATCCATCAGAATGCCGTAAAAGAATTTCCGACATAGGTCTTGAGCTTAGTGAGAATGGTGTTCACAACTAGATGTCGGAAAAAGGTAAAGTACCATTTTAATGGTGCTGGCTTACAAGTTTGATCACATGCGTTAAAAGGCACATGATAATGCAGGCTCCTACCCAACCGCTGCTGCGAGGTTGAAGACGGACTGCTAGGGCGGGTTTGGGAGATCACGTGCTCCAGCAAAATTTCAATCCCAGCACAACTTTATTTCTTCAACCTCTCAGCAGCGGCTGGCGGATAACATTTGTAAACATTGTCAGCCACAGCGGCTAAACTCTGCCGACACAGTGCAGAGCGTAAAAATATACCTACCTGAAAGGAATATATACATTAAATAAACTAATTGTTTAACCGTGCCACTCAATGGAGACAACTGATCAAGTTGACGCTATCTTGGAAGCCTTTGACATTGTTGGGATCTCGCCATCAGAATTCATTATCAAGCTGCTAAATGATCATCGTTACATCAACCACAAGACAGTAATCAATCTAAGAGAATATGGACAGCAACTCGTGGAACTTCTCATGGTCCAGCCTGATGTGGTTAAAGGGAGATATGCACGGGAGGTACAAATACTGTCAGCGAAAGACACCAGCTACCATTTCTCGGTGCTAAATACATCTGTCAAACAATTGGAGGAGTTTGACATTGATGTGTTAGGTAAAGGGATGGAACTGCACACACCAATGTTGTGGAATTTTGTCATATCCCGCGTTCCGGACCTGGACTTATCATACATCTCATTTCTGGATGTCCGGATCTGGCCGACGTCTATCTATGTCCGGATCTGACCCGCGTCTAACTTCTGTGCCTTATCCCTTTGTACGTTCCTACTCCAGTTAGACTATATCATTTTCCGTACCTCATTTCATTTCCACCTTTATTTCCCTCTGTTCTAATCTCCGGGTTCATTTACTATTTTCCGATAGACTAGCGTTTGACTTTTCTATACCCTCCGTCCACAGCCTCGCATAGCTTCGGACTGCGCTGGCTTACTCTCTGTTAAATCCTCAGTAGTATATAAACCCTGTAGAATCTATGTACATCCTCAGTTCGAATATCATCTTAGACTCTGCTCATTCTCTCCTCCATCCGACTTGAGTTTCTCTCTTGTCGACCTCCGCTCGTCTTAGGATTGATTCCTATAGACTTGTCACCTCCGCCTCTACCTCTGGTAGTCCTCTGCTGTTTCCTTTCTAGTTTGGACTTCGTCCGGATTAGTCTTATCTCTTGTTCCCAAACGTCCGCCGGAATTCCCGCGCATCGGACATCGGACTCCGGACATCGCCCGACGCCCTCCGGACATCGTCCGGTAACCTTCGGACATCGTTCGACAGCCCTCAGAAGTTAGGGGCACATACTCGGGTAAGGGGTGCAGCGCACGAGCTGAAGCCAAGCCCTTCAGATCCAACCTTTGAGCACGTTCTTAACAAATTTGCTTGATATCCTGCTTTCGGCGAGGGGGAAGGGACATCACAGAGATCATAGCAACAGCGGAGACTTGCAAGTCGGTGAAGATGACGAGGCTCTTTGGGAGGAACTAGGTGACTTGGATCTGGAGGGGGCTGTGTTGAAGAAAAAGGACAGGATCATAGCACACTGAAATAAGTTGACTACAATTGTACGTTGAATCAAAGCAAATGAACAGAATTCAAGTTAACTCATGTCGGCAGAAAAAGGTTGTTATTCTGAGTATATTGATGCAAAGCTCGAACCAAAATTCGAACACATTGCAGAGCGTTGTTGGCATATTCCTGCAGTCCGTGCACACACCTCAAAAGGTCATCAATACACTATCAAGAATGGGTGTCAGTGTGTCTGTTGACACAATAAACGCAGCTGTACTGTCATTGTCTGCAGAATCCCACCGTGCTATTCATGCCCTTGGTCAAACACTGCTTGCTTCCTACGCATACGATAACTTCAATGTTGACCTGAAAAAAACAGTACATACTGTCAGTGACTCTGAAGACACGCTGGTACACCTCACCTCTGGTTTGCTATTTCTACTGCAGCATGGTGTCACACGCAAAGACTTACGGTGCTCGATGACACTGTGGGAAAAGTCTCCCCTCAACCTGCGGCTCAATCTATCAACTGTCACAATGAAAGGAGGATGGAAGGACTTACTGCAGTTGCACCCGGACTCCTTGAATGCAGCTGGTTTGTCTTGTAGAGACCGCTTTAACTCATGGAAGATGCTTTCTGACCTAATCAATCATGGTCCCCTATACTTTCGTCAGTTCAAGGACCAACTTGGTGATCTGGAGAGAGTCGATTCTATCCCTGTCATAAAGACACCCATTCTCGCAGCACATGCTATGCATCTTAGCAACTCCACAGTATCCGGAAATATAAGCTCAGTAGTAGAGCTGCTGCGACAGGGAGGTATTGAGGATCCAGACGAGATTGATGATCTGGACATGCCGGACATGTCAGAGTACGTTGTACTGTTCCACGGCAACCTTGGCTCTGGGGAACGTCTCCAGGCAGCCCAGCAATGACAGTCAATTGAGGACACACCTTGGAAGTGCCTTCAACATGTGATTTTCATCCCTGGTTTGTTTCACTTGAAAATGGCCAGCGCAGATGCTATATGGTGCACGTTCCTACAACCACTGTCAGCACATGATGATGAAAATGCTTTGATGCACGACATTGCAATTCTGCGACCAAAAGAAACAGGAATCTATGGATCAAAACCAGGTTTTCGCCGCATGATGAACTTGTCATGTACGATGGTATATGTCGACGACTGGATTGCTGGAGGGTCGAGGCAAAGAAGCTAAACACCTTGCATGTGGATCTTGATGCATATGCAGCATCAGAGCCTGTGTTCGATGAGCTGAAAACTGTGGCTGATCAGCTCGCACAGAAATATATTGCCAATCATGGACTGCGGCAATCGAGGTCTGGAAACTACTCACAGTGGGACAAGCAATACGAAAATGGACTCCTTCTGAATAAATACTTCCTATTGTATGAGGAGCTCTCATATGCGATGAACTCGGGGGACATTGGCCATGTGGAGACATGCATCATTGCATGGATCTTGATATTCAAAGCTACGGGCAAGCATAAATATGCGACACAAATGACTGACTTCCTGTATAACATCCACTTTACTTACCCAGAAGGGTTGAGGTAACATTACACCTTTCACAGTTGACAGGGAGCTAAACGATTGAGCAGGAAGGCAATTCGGTACCATATCCTTATCAACCCGACTGGGAAGAAGGGTAAATTCTGGGGCATTGACTGGTGTGTTGAGCTGAATAATCTGTTTACAAAGGTGAGTCACTGTAACACAAATCACATGCTAGTAGAAGTAATTAGTTGATGTAGGTGATCAATGGAGGAAAAGGTTCAAACTGTACTGCACACTGTATTATCCTTGAATCACCCCTGGTTCAGATATACTGGAACTTGCACAGAACATTTGAGTGGAACATGATACACACAAACGTCACCAGTCGACATGCAGAGGTAGATATGACACAAATGTTCAAACAGCTGTGTAAATACATAGCGGAGCATTCCCCACACGAACTTGAACTAGGACGACATAGCAAATACTCTGTTCCTGACCTGTTCAGCAAGGGCCAGGAACTATTAGATAAAATGGAGGACGGAGCTGATGTAGAGGGAGTTGAAGATCAACTTGAAGCAACTTTGGAAGATCTGGTGGTGGAACTGGGCATATAATCTGTGTCAGTGTATCTGTGGCTGCTTCCAATGAATAACTAGATAGCATGCAGCAGGAAATCACGTCACATACCAAATTTTCTTTGTCCCTAGATGCTGTATCTCCAGTAGTGACATGTCGAGAAGGGTGCATAGCGCATATGCGATTGTGCTCTATGAATTTATTTCATTAAAAATTAGTAAGGACTTATGGTATGAAAAACCTACTATTATGTCCCTCCATATTACAGGTGCTACAATGGCTCGCTTTTTGTGCTGTTGATGAGGTAGCTAGCATTTGAAGAGGAACCTGAGGATTTGAAGGAGGAGCCGTGCTGTTGTTGACAGATGATAATTGACGTTGGAGAGGAGCCAAAGTGAGTAACTGGTGTGGAGGTAGGGACTGGGAAGAGACAGTGTACAATGGCAATGATATCACCACCAAACTCGTCAGAACCAGACCACCATGTCTCTTTGTGGAGGTCTTGAATGGTAACAAATTTTTTATGTTGCGCACAGTCCACGATGCAATCAAGTACGGAGTCAAGCATCACAAGGCTAAGACCATAGTCACAGAGGTTGGAATCTCCATACACTCATCAGGTTGCTGCCTCTCGCCAATCCTCCAAAGATCTACTCAGTTCGAGTCCTGTTGGTCCCATGGTACTGTGCTTTGGAAGACGAGAGCGTTGAGGAACCTTGGGAAGTGTTGGTATAATAGTGTCAAAGAATAGGAATGCATTTGGGTAATGAATATCGCAGCAAGTCTCAGGTGGTGCAGGTGCGCAACGTAAACAGCCTTGTGGAAGTGATGGATCGCAAGCGAAGTGATCTGGAGCTGTTGAAGTATACACGTAAGATAATAGAAGCAGTACATAATATTAATAGACATTCTCACTGGCAGATATTTCGTCAAAGTGAACACAAAATACTCTGCATCGACACTGGATTGTATCCCGGAGATGGGCATTTATCAAGCAATCCATTGCAGGATCCAATTCTCTACTTTTCTTTCATGCGTTCCATCCAGTCCTCCCGTCTGCTGTTGATTTGAGCATGTCACGTAGTTCTGAATCCCTATCTCCTTCACCCGCCACATTATTGCTACTGTCATGTTCATTCCCATCCATGTCCTTATCTTCAACTCGAAGATTCTCATCCTCATCTTGTTCCGTGGATGCTGCAGCTTGCTTGGCTATGTGCCAAAATTTATTTCTGGATTGAGTCATACCAGCAGTGGCACTGGACTTGTCGTCAGCTTTTCGCTTCCTTGTCTCTTGATGCTGATGTCTCTCTTGGCGCACATTGTCAAAATATTCCTTCTTGGCAAATAGGATTGCTGTGCCCTGTAGCAGCCTATCTCTGGTGGCACGTCCCCATCTCTGCCACAACATTGATAACTTGCATGTTGCCCTCCATTGGATCACAAGCATGATGTCCGGTATGTCCATTCCCTAGTTAATCAAGTCACCGATGGCACTCACATAACTTATAGACTACCTTACCATCCTGAATGACTCCGTTGTGCAAAGTCCCCATGTCTCACCAGAGGTAAGGTGGCTGACTTTGTTTTCTTTATACTCTGTGGTCATGTCTGAATTGAACCATTGTATCCTGTCATGCATCTCGGCGGGAAGTCACTTCTGCAGTGATTTTGCAGCCATGATTGCATCCTGAATACTGTCAAAAAAAAACAAGGAATTTGGGCGGTATAGGATCATTGTTCTTCCACCCATCCGGGATGAGAAATGCCAAGTCTTGGAATGATGCAAGTGAGTATTTGATCTTCCAAACACAGAGCTTGATGTTAAAGCAATCAATAGATGTTTTGATGGTTACTAGATTTTCGCAGCGCATTCAAAGAAGGCATTTTGCATGGGAAAGATCACTAGGTGCCAGTGTTGCAGATGCCATCAGAAAGGGCATGTAGCATGGTAAGATGTAGCGTAAGCATTGCAACTCCTTGTACTCTGGACGGAACTCCCCCCATGCTGTGATACAATTAGGGATCCGCACGGGTATACCCTGGGGTGTCGGGGACCTGACCCGCACCCGCACCCGGCAAAAACCCGTACCCGCTCTGACGGGTACGGGTTTTCGGCGGGTACAACAAGCTCAGACCTGTACCCGCACCCGTGCAGGGTTTACCCGCGGGTACCATAGGTATCACCACCAGTGCTTAGCACATATGTCCAGCACACGTCAGCGAATGCTGACGTGACTCGAACATATGTGGATGGCACAAGAAGGAGGAGTGGAGGCGGTTGGTGTCGTGGATGGTGGCATTGGCGTCGAGGATGGTGGCATTGGCATCGTGGATGGTGGCATTGGCGTCGTGGATGGTGGCATTGGCGTGAAAGCTGGTGGTGGTGCGAGTGCTGGGCGCACAAAGATAGGCGCTGGCGACGTTGTAGAAACAACAATACTGAGAGGAACAAATGAAGCTCCTGACTGTATCTGTAAATGTTGTAAGGTCGCGCGTTGCCTAGTCTGCTATACTTGAGACGACAAGTGCATTCGACCCTAAAGGGGAAGCGAGTGCAGCAAGGATCTAGTAGTGCGCGCGAGGCGCGGGAAGCGCGCGCGCGTGAGCGGTAATGAGTGAGAGTAAGAGTGAGTTTGCTTAAGTGGTGATTAGATACTAGACAAGAGATACGAGCGCGAGGTGTCAAAGAATAGATTTCTACTATGTTCTCCTAGGTAGTATGTGGGTGGTAAGTGGGAGGTCAAGTCTAAGTTGGAAAATTCCTAATAGTATGTAATGCTGGCACTTATATACGGCGCCTAAGCGCTGTCATGCGGAGCCGAAGTGCTACCGAGTAAGGTATGTAAAGCTATATGTAAGTAAGGGTCCATGATATAAATAAAGGTGGAATGATATGTAAATAAGGGAAATGGAAATACACACACTAGAGAGCTTGGTGGACAGTGGATGGATGCTTCCAGAAGGCTGGCGCTATAGGGCGACCAAGCGCGGGAAAGCGCGCGCGCGTATACATCGTAAAGCGCGGGAATGGTGCGCGCATGGCGCGCATTGCGCGGGAAAGCTGCGCCTCATATATGGATAGCTGCAGATAGCACACAGAATGGTGCTGCAAGTTCGTGCAATGAACTCCCTAGTGAAAAGTGCCATATCACACCATGAGAGGCATGAGTCTCTACAACGTGACGCGTATGACGTCATTGTTGTTGCTGGGGGTAGAGTCTTCAATGTGAGTACTCACTTTCAGCATGCCCAAAGTCTCGTCTCCTCGAGTTCCTCTTTCCTCCTTCATCTCTATACCATCCCTTCTCCCTTCCTCGATTCTCTTGTCCTTTCGTCTTCACGTGTTGTCCGCGTGTGTTTGCATCGCGTCAACACTTGTTGACGCGTTTCGGGCGCGCGCGCTGTGAACGTGGAGTTGGTGGACTTGGGAAGGCGCGTTAGGTGCTGGTGTTGGTGGTGGTGCCGGTTGTAGCGTGCACGTGGGAAGTATGGCGTCCGCTATTACTGATGCAGGAGGTGCTACCATTTATAGAAGGCACGGGTATAGCTGGGGTACGGGTAAGAGCGCGGGTCTTAGAATCCCGACCCATACCCGTACCCCAGTAGTACCCGTACCCGTGACCCGCACGGGTTACCCGTACCCGTGCAGATCCCTAGGGCAACCACGCCCCTTGGGGAACAATGACATCTTGCCGCACACTGAAACCTTGATAACCTTTCAAAGAAAGATGTGAGTGATTGTCCTATGGTTGAGTCAGTGTATTTTACCTTCGCGATCATCAACCAGGCTCTGAAAATCTTTTTCTCGTTAACAATGTTATCAGGGTACAGTACCGGTGCTTTGAAAACATCGAAGGTCTTCCCCTTCCCCGCCTCCCATCCAATCATATCCGTAATTTGCTGGACGGAAGCACGGTCATATCTGGCAACAAAGTACTCGGGTGACATGTTGAAGATGCTACCTGAAACAGTACGTAGACCATTGAAGAATGATGATCGTGCCTGTTGCATGCCGCTTGCAAACTGTTCCGCAAATAGTCAACTCGTTTACAACTATGTAAAATTTCAAGTTACGTACCAAGTTAAAGAATGAATTTGTTCGCATCTGAGGATGCAACTCATGATCGATTGAGGCATAGAGCTCAGTGACAAGGGCAGCCTTCTCTATCGATTTCTTAGCGTAACGTTGCGGACTTGTTATATCGACCAGAGGATCAGGGCAGTCTGTCTGAAAAATGACCTTTTCAGGCAGGAACATCTCCGTCGTCAATGCATACTTCTTGGCCAAACCTAAGATTAGCTTGTTGATGATGGTCTCACACGTGATGATGGACGCTGTAGTCGATGGCACAGATGAAGGTGGCACAGACTAGTGCTGCCGTGGTCCAGTTCCGAACCGTGGTTCGAACCTGACCATTGGTCAGGTTCGTCCTTGGTTCGGTCCATGGTCCAGCATTTTGCACGGACCGAACTGGAATGAGGTTTGTGGTCCGCTAACTCCTGTGCGGTTCATCTATAGGTTCGGACCTTCCCGAACCGTTCCGAACCCCGAACCGAATCTTCCTTGCAACACCTTCAAGGCTCAATCACACGCTTATGGTCATTTTGACTTCTCGATCCTCAAGATTCGCCATGGTCACTTTGACCTTTGGCATTCTCAAGACTTTTTTCGACTTATCCTGTCCGGAGGTTCGCATCCCGCACACCCTGCTGTCCGATAACGCCTACCTGTTCAATCAAGCTCAAGGTATGACTTTTCCGTCAAATCAAGCGCAATAAACTGATTGACATATTATATTTCTTAGGATCCTTCAACGCATACTATGAGTTAGTAGGAGATTGGGTATTCACATATAAAGGGAGCAAGGTGAGTGATATATTTTGACTACCGGTACAATGTCTGAACCTGAAGCACAGTGTGCCCTCAACCCAGACGGGTCTCTAAAGGACGCCAAAGACATCGTTTTTTACAACGATCCTGATGATGCCGTCCCCATTTCCGCTCCATCCTCCTCTGCCCAGCCAATTCGAACAATCTTCACTCGCGACGACAAACATTGGGTCTGCAAACCTTGCAGGGATGCCGGTGAACTTGAAAGCAAGTACACATTTCGCGGAGGTATCTCTACACTACGCACGCACATTTGTCGGTATGTTCATGTCTTCTTTCTCTTGAATGATCACTAATATTATATATCTATCAGTAATAAAGGCCATTTTCAACTTTACAAGTCACGCTGCGAAGCCGCAAACATCACCATGCACCCTCGAGCGGTTCCAACTGGTGAGGTTCAATCCCTGTGAGTTACATTTGCCGTATTGTAGTGTGTTGTACTGATTCATAGATAGTTCAAGGCAATCCACCCTCGATGGCAGCCTTGCCCCGAAAGCACCCATGTTTACCAAGGCAGGGCTTCTGGAGTATATTATGGAGTTGATTGTGACCGAGGACGAGGCATTGCAACTCGTCGACAAACCAGCCTTCCGCAACTTGCTTTGTTATGTCCGCCCCACCCTTGCTGAAAGTGATGTGCCACACCGCACGAAACTTACGGAGACTGTTAAGGCCCGCGCAGTGCAGGTGGTCAACGTCATTCGTGAGCGTCTCGCAAAGGTAGACAGTCAAGTCTCGATGACCTTCGATTCATGGACGTCAATCATCGGCGACCCTTTCTTCTCCATCACAGGCCACTATATCTGGAGCCCGGATGACAAACCCCAGCAATGGGAGTTACACCGCGAGCAACTCAGTTTTGCGCACATCCAGGGCAATCATAGTGGTCAGAATACGGCTCGCTTGATTGTTGATACCATTGACAAATATGAACTACGAAATAAGGTAAAGTTTAGTCTACTACTTTGCTGCGCTGAATCTAATCAGTGTGTTGTAGGTCGGATGGATGACCTCTGACAATGCCACCAATAATGATACCGCCATGAAAGCAGTTGGACAAGAAATCGATCCTGAGGGTACACGGTGGGCACCTGATGCGCGCCGCATCAGGTGCCAAGAACATATACTTAATCTTGCAGCACGCCACTTCGTTGACGCCGTCGCCCCCACACCTCAAGCTGCTCTCATGAAGAAAATTCGACAAGCGCTTGATAATGGCAACGACGCTGACCTCAACACCTTAAATAAACAGCTTTCTTCCATGGACGTCAGTAACAACAACAACAACACCTTATTCGATACCGGCGATTCACTTGGCAAAGCTCTTGCCCTCATTGAGCAGGTACGTGCTATATTTTTTAGACTATTCTTTTGCTGATCGAGATCCTCAGATCCGAAAGTCCCCTCAAGCTCGAGCATTTTTCCGCAAGGCTTGCAAAGAGGAAAACGTACCTGAACTTGAGCTCTTGCAATGGATCCGGACTCGCTGGGCGTCGCTATATAAATGCCTGGACCGCATGTTGATCTTGCGTCAAGTGAGTTTTTTTTTCTTTCAATGTTTAAAAGTGGCCTGATTTTAATTAAATAGGCCGTAAACCGTTTCACCAACCTTGCTGACAAAAGCCACGAAGTGCCAACTCTTCGCAACAAGACTTACGACAACTTCAAGCTCGATCGAAGCGATTGGAGACACCTCAGGCTTATTCACCGAGTCCTCAAGGAACCAGCCACGGCTCAGCAATCGTTCTCGTCAGCAAAACATCCGACTGCATGGAAAACGATCCCTATGCTAGAGTGCCTCGCTGATCGATGGAGATCCATGGCAGATGACCCGCAATATCTTCCGATCACTGATGCGATTAAGGCCGGACTCAAGAATGTCAAGAAATACTTCAAGAAAACAAGTCAATCGGACGTTTATTTTATTTGTCTTGGTGAGTACTATCAATTTTTAAAACTCGTTCTTATCTAATATAATTTAAGTTCTTGATCCAAACTATAAGCTCGCATACGTTGAAGGCCGGTGGGATTTTGGAGATGTTGCAGATGGCAGAGCTCGTCTGGAGGCCGTGGTGAGTACTTGTCTATGTTGTTTTCCTGCTCTAATCTTTTTTTTTTTTTGTAGTTCAATGACTATTATACACCGCCGAGTCGAACACCTACTACCAACGAGCAATCCGCTCCGCCGACGAGAGCTGCCAGTGTACGCAAGCACTATGGCGACGATTGGATGCGCGAGGCTATTAGGACGCGTAAGACATCAGACCACCTTACTCACAATCCTCGTCAAGAGCTCAACATGTACTTGTCTTCGCCACTAGAGGAGACTGATGACATTGTGGCCTGGTGGGGGGTAAGTTTTCTTTTTGACTTGTTTTTTCGCTACTAAATCTACTTAATAGCTTCACTCGCTGCAATACCCTACACTCGCGCGCATCGCGCGAGACTATCTACCCATTCAAGGCAGCTCTGTTCCTTCCGAACAAGCATTCTCAAGTGGAGGAATCACTTCGACTATCCGACGCAATGCACTCGCGACTGACACGTTCACTGCACTACAACTACTGAAGGGAGCATATAGGAATGGGCATCTTTCTGCAGGAGTAGAGGCTGAGGGACATGCGGCTTCATTGGACATGTAACTACGAGTACAAATATCTTGCCTATGTTTTTTTTTCCTGGCTGTAATTGTTTTGCGTTCAGTTCGCGTTCAGACCAAGAAAAAACCGAACCTGACCGCTGTGAACCGTTCACAAAGGTTCGGTCTAAGGTTCGTTGAAATAACTAGAACCGAACCTTGGTCTGGTTTTTGGTTCTCGTCCAACCACCTCTGAACCGAACGGAACCGGACCGCGGCAGCACTAGCACAGACGAACGCGAGGATGCGGTAGATGAAGGTGGCACGGATGAATGTAAGGACGCAGTAGATGAGACCAGCAATGCAGCAGCAGATGACGTCTGATTTGGTGAGCGCCTGCGATGTTTCAACTGCTGTGCTGCTAGTGTACCATTGGTTGCATTCAGCGCTGCGTTACGCTCTTCCAACTTTCCTTTCTCAAGTTGAAGTTGCTTAATGTACTAGATAAAATGAGTCAGGGAATGGACGCGAGTCGACGAAAGAAAAAAGAGCCTACCGCTTGAAGGTGCTTTGTAGACGCATCGGCGCTTGGTGGTGCCACAGGCCGTGGGGCATCATCATCTGAATCATGCCCTGAATCCGACAATGACAATAGATTAGAGTCGGAATCTTCGAGGTTTGAATCAGAGTCCAGCGGAGAGTCCGACATGAGCTATATGCAAAGAGAGAATGCGTGATGTGTGAGTGGCCCAGATGCTGAGTGAACGAATGGATTGCGAGGTCTTTATATACATTTTGCGGGCAACCCTAAACGATTTAGAATCAATCTGTGGTATTACTAGTGAGTGAGATAATGACAGACATGAGTTGATTCAATAATAACATACATAATACGATTTGACGCAATCGCTTCGGTACACAAGTCGTTATTAGTGAAACGGATCATGGAAGCTGTGACCTTGAGAAGAAATGCTGGATGAAAGATGCGTGTCCAAACACGAGGTGACACTGTGTTACGACACACTTGTGTCAGTAATGTCAATGATGCAGCTTGATGACCTACTTAATGCATATTATACCTAATGATATTGTGTGTTGCAAGCCGAGGCCGCCGCCAAAGTGTCAGGCGAGTTAAGCTTGCAGATACTTGAGCCGAAGAAACATTTCTGCATCAACCGTGTCGATGACGAAGTAATCGCCTTGTCTCCCAGGATCACTGGCAAGCGCAGCCCCTCGGATAATCGACCTTACAGAGATGAATTCGGGAGATGACCGAGGTTTGGCTCGTACACGCCATAGTCCCAGCTCAGTGTCATGCTTGCTACGGACACCGATTCCGACATCATATGGATGTATGAGCGCCAGTGAGAGATTGGTTTCGTCAATCGAGCAACCGAACATGAAGATAAGGCGAGCAAAAAATGGTTGATTGTTGGTTTGAACCATAACACAATCATATCGCGGAGATCCAAAGAACTCGGGGTTGCATCGAAGGAGGTCTCTGCACTGGCGCCAGTTGACCATAGACTCGTAGTTGACTTGCAGATATTTGTATCCGGTAATCTAAATATTATGTTGCACAGCACAATTTTAACAAGTAGTTAGCAGGTTGAGTTGTTGGCGTACCTTGTTGTCAGCCTGCAAATGAATGTGCTTGCCATCTGGTAAAGGAATGTCGTTACTGGGGAAGAATGTGTTCAGGAAGCCGTTGAGTTTGACTCGAAAACCAACAAAGGCCCTGTCGTCTGCGTGCGACTGCTCGAGACTTGCAAATGAGATGTCACCTTGCGCCGAGCCTAACTTTACGTGAGTGCAGGGAGCTGGGGCCACAGAAATCACAGGATTTTCTGTGTCTGCGTCTTCTGTTGTTGGGAGGTTGGCTTTCCGATTGTACTCGTCCAACTCGTCGAGTTCAGAGCGCATTGATGTTGAGGTTAGTAACCAATGATCATAGCGAAGAATCTGAACTCGTTAAGTTAGTTCATGTTAATCCAGTCTTGTTGACACACAAACCTGTGTAGCGACGTCCTTGAAATTCGTTCGATTGTGGTAGATGTCCCTCACGGGGCCGTGCATCTTCTCGTTCGGTTTTGTGTTGTAGTTTTGCATCGCGCCTTTCGCCAAGATATTGTCGAATAGATGCGAACTTGCGTGTTTCTTGGAGAAATTTCAGTCCTTGCCTGTTACAGGCTGTGATTTGAGAATATACTCCTAATAACAGATCATAGGTGAATGATCGAGAAGTATTGCGAAGCATAACTTACCTCCATCAGCGCTGAAAAATCCTGCAGAGCTTGTCTTCCTGCAGATATTGTACCTTCAGTGTGAACCTCAAATCCAGCATAAATGTCGAGATCGATATAGTGGCGTATGCATCGCAGAAGGAGATAGCCGAGCTTACTCTGTGAACGGCGGAGGATCCTTTGCGCCGCAAAGATAGCCATCTGAGGCTCGTTAGCACAGGATGCAGCTTCAGTTGCAGCTTACCTTCGATATGTCCTCGTGATGCGAGCTGTCATTGAAATCAACTCCAACTACCTTCGAGAAGTGCGTCAGGTTAGACCACTGCGGAAAAGCATCATAGCTGAGGTAGTACTATTAAGTTTGAGGCAGCTCATGTCGGATAACAATATGAACGTACTTTGCATCCATCTCCGCAACAGCTTCTCGCCCTAATTCAAGTATCCAGAACTGCAGCTCCTTCCACAGATGGTGCCTCCAAAGCCCTCCATGATGCACATGCATGCGATCAAAGGAGAGCGCTCGGTGAATGTCAGTGAGCAGCATTCTCCAGAAGACATTCTGAAGATCATGTCTGTCAGCGTAATATAAACAAAAGACCTTGCAAAACATACTTCAACGTCACGCAGCGAGTAAGTTTTAAGTAAGTTTTCCCTCTCCTTCTTAGATTTCTTCGCGCGGGCCAACCGAAGGGTCTCCTCAGACTCAGCGCTTGTCCGTAATTGAAGTTCGTGAGATAAGACGGATTGCTCGTCTCGAGGAACCAAGCAGATTGGGCAGGGAAATTTACCTTTCAGTCCGCGAATCAATGCCATAACACATCTATCACACAGCGTCAGCAATATCACAGCGAACTTGAGCATTGTAAGACTCACTGTTCTTCATAGTCGGCACTCAGAATCAAAATCAAGGGCCACAGCAGGCGCCGGATGGCATCACCACACTCGAACCAATATCCTGTCCTCGAGATCTGTATGACAGATTCTAAAAGTTTTAAAAAGGACTCGTGCCAAACGGCATTCTTGAAGTTCACAAAGCTGCTTTTTCCTGCATGCTCCGGATCCTCTGACACCTGCTCTGACATCAGCATGTGTATGAAGTTAAACTAAATACTAACAATAGGCAGCCAACCTACAATTCGGCCACCACCAAGACCAGTACCGTTCCGGATTTCGACAGGCAGGTTTGCGATCCGACAAACAATCGGATAGGCTTTCTGGGTACCGAAAGAGGATAATTTTGCCTTGTCTGCATACAATATAAAAGCGAGAGGCTTTGCCTCAGGTGGAAGTCGTGACTACACAAGGCGCAGTTGCATGTCATTGGACATGCAAAGTGATCAAGACTTACCTGTGCATCCCAGAATGCGTCGGCAGTCCAAGGTTCATCAATAAAGCGTACAAAACGCGTACCATTGAATTTATATAGGCGCTGTGCATCAAATACGAAGTGCGGCGCAAGACGTCGATCTCGCAACATATCAAGAGCCCATTCCAAAAGAGGACGATAGTGCATATCAAACTCGTGCACCTTGTTTTTATACGGAACCGAAACTACATCAACTTGAAACTTGATAAATTACATATGTTTAGTTAAGTGCGTCTAATTGAACTTGTATTTGCCTACCGGAGTGAAGCGTTGGGAAGCGGTTGACCACAACTCCCGGACTTCATCATGGTTTCGTAGTGTAAAGGTTTCGTCACTACGTGCGGAACGATGAACGAGACTAAGCAGACGATTGGTTTGATCTGCGTTGAGTGCAGCTTCAAGGGCGATTTCCGCGACCTCAAAATCGAGCCGTGTTCGGAATGGTTCCCATGGTGCATGATTCCGAGGTACTGAAACTTCTGTGGGACGTGTGCGAGAGAAATCGGCAAAATGATGAATGGTGGACGGAATCTGGCTGTGAGGATGATAATCAACCTTGATATCATCCAGCTGCGGTAATGGTTCCTGATCTGCAGGATTTGCATTGTCATAGTGGCTCTGAAGGCCAGGCGACGCCATATTGAAATCCAATATCAGTGATTGACGACTTCGAGGTGTTGATCCCTGCATGTCTGACACATAAAACGATTGATCAGTTTTTGGGAATCCACTAGACTAATATGCAAACGTACCAATATTATCTTCTGAATCTGCAGCTTCGTTCTCGTGGTTGTGACGCTGCGTCGACCAAATGTTGATAGGATCAACTGACAATAGTGTTATTCGAGTGATCAGTGTGAAAGCAGATTATTAGGTGACTTACCTGTAGATGACGCCACACGTCGTTTGGATTGAGTGTGAGCCTTATGTTCTGTGCAGTTGTGAGGTGAGTTATGGGACAAAACAAAAACGGTGCGCATAATACGTACGTTTTTTCGCCGCTTCTTCGATAATCACTTTGACCTCGTCATCTTCTTCTTTCTCCCGTGCCAGCTTCCTACATTTCTTTTCATGTGGGACCAGTCCACGAGCTCGTACTAGTATTCTGCATGTGTTACACTTCACGTCGTCTGATGTCCGTTGAGGAGGCATAGAAATAGAAATTGATGGCACGAAGAACGAGATGAGAACTTGCGGGGAATTTGAATTTGTGAGCAGCGACAAAGAGGAAATTGACAACAGAGTTTATCCTACCTAGTATGAGTGATGAGCGATTTAGACGTTAGAAATACTGCGCATGCGTACCTTTGTTGCAGATGGCAGTGAGCAGTAGAGTATAATTGAAACTCAGGTCGAGCTGAGACTTAATAGCAGTCTCGACAACATTGTAATGAGATCGTAATCAAATCGTTATCAAATCATAATGAAATTATAATCGAATCATAATGCTGATAAATATAGCATTACGATATGGGAGCATTATGATGCCTGCTGGAAATTTCCGACATAAATCTCAATAACAAGATTTTCTGTTGAACTGAACTGAACTGAACCTTAATATCACTATGAATCACCAATAAAGATGTTGACAACTTCTTTGAGGGCTGCTTTAGAGGCATGATGGATGTCAAAGGGAGCTCAGCAACAGGCATCAAAACTCATGCACAATGTGGAAGGTAGCAAATGATGACATGTGTTTTTGATGAGTAAGCAAATGACAATGTTAAAGATAGCAGGGTTATTTCATGTGTTCCAAGGGTCTCAAGCAGTCAGATGGTAATAGTATAGGACAGGTGATGTTGTGATAAGCACAAAAATGGTGGGGTTTGAAGGCTGTAGTGGTGCCCATCATGCATGACAGCAAGCATGATCATGTGGATGATGGGTGAGAGGTGCACAGAATCAAGTGGGTATCTTACAGCCTAAATATAATCTTAAATAATCTAACGGACCCTACGTTGTTAACGGTTATGGAGACACACGTGCACTGGGAGTGTCGGTGAAGGATAAATATACAAATTCACACGGTTGGGGTCGCAGGCATTCTGGGGTCCAACGTCCAAGGTTCATCAAATGGCGATGCATTGCAGGTAAATGGTGACTCGGAAACTGATTGCATGTAATACCCCTTGCTGCGTGTTAACCATAAATAGGATGCTGTGGCTAACATTTGACGTGAGGCAACGATCATAAGGGCAAGGGTAAAGTTTCTACGTAAATATATCATCCCCGTCTTAATGTCAGCAACACCACCACCACCGCCCTTGCCACCCTTGCCATCGAACCTGCTACCGACCCCACCACCACCCGTGCCACCCCTTCCAATAGAATATCTAAGAGATCGATCCAAGTCACCTTTACCTGCACCTCGTCCACATCATCCATATAACGTGCGTGATTTCTCTTTATTACTCATCCTCAAGTTGACCGTTTCTATTACATACTAGATGGTTAGATTGGACAATGCCGTGTCTACTTATGGTTCTCCTCAGAACTTCCATCAACCTCCATCTAACCCAGGTTTTGCTCCACTTAGAACTTCACCTCCCCGGAACATTGTAAACACAACTGGCTTTTCTCCACCACAACCTCCAATGCCACCTCCTTCACGTGCTCAAAGTCAGAGCGCCATTCCCAGTCTCACAGCCCCTATCCCAACCTCACAATCTCTCTCTATCGCACTCCCCACAATACAACAACCTGCTCATGATCCTGCTCTCAAACTCGCTTGGGCCCGTGACGTCCTTCTCCTCGTAGATCGCACTCAGTATCCTAGCGTAACTGACATCCCACCGGGTCCAGTCACGATCACTGATCCACAACTACAACGTCTCCTCGCAACAGCAATCCCTCTTATACAACACCTTGCGAACGTAAATCATCAGCCACTTCCTCTGTTCGCAGCTGAAGCAATCTACCTTCGTGCTACCCTCGAATCAAGCGGCGCTTACCCAGATCGCATCCCACACAATCCCCGTCAGGCATTCCGTGATTTCGAAGCTGCTGCACGTGCAGGGTACGCCGCTGCATGGTTCCGTTTAGGACGCGATTACGAAAACTTTAACGATGCAGTCCATGCCAAGGACTGTTTCGAACGAGGCGCAAAGCTGAGCGTCGAAAGTTGTGTTTATGTACGTCTCTCGACTTCTTTTTTCCCTCATTCATCTTATAGGCAACTAGCGCATGGGAATGGCACATCTACTGGGTCAGCTAGGTCTCCCTCCAAACCCTGCTGCTGCCCTCCCGTTTTTGCAGCGTGCAGCTACACTCGCAAGTACAACCACTCCTCAACCTGCGTATGTCTACGCACTTCTTCTCCTCGGCGAATTCTCCGCTGCTTCGTTGCCTGCTTCTCTCCTACCCCAACCACCCATCGTTCAATCAGAGGCTCGCCGCCACCTCGAGCGCGCAGCCTACCTTGGTTTCGCACCAGCACAATACAAGCTTGGCCATGCTTACGAATTCGCCAGTCCCCCCTTCCCCTTTGATGCATTGCTCAGTGTCCAGTATTACTCCCTTGCTAGTCAGCAGGGCGAGGTCGAAGCAGACATGGCTCTCAGCAAGTGGTTCTTGTGCGGCGCAGAAGGCGCATTCGACAAGGACGAAAGTCTCGCCTTCACCTTTGCCGAAAAAGCTGCCAAGCGTGGGTTACCAAGTGCTGAATTCGCGATGGGGTATTATAAAGAGGTCGGTGTCGGCGGTGAAAAGGATATCCAGGAATCGATGAAGTGGTACTCCCTTGTATGTCTTCTTTTCAACTTCGTTGATTGTTTCTCACCTGTTTCCAGGCTGCTGAACATGGAAACACAGATGCTGTAGAACGTATCACAGCCCTCAACCAAGTCATCCCTCAAGCCCTTTCTCGACAAGAGCACGACACCATCACCGAAACCCAGCTCGTGCGCAAGCGTACTCAGGCACGGGAGCGAACAAGTACACAGCCACGCATGAGCGCTGAAGATGGAAGACAAGTGATGGAAATGGCCAGAAAGAGCTCCATCGTACGACAGCAATCTCCTCCGCAGGTGCCTGCGTATATAACATCGCTTGTTGAGAGCTCATCGCCTTCCGCTGTACCCCAGCAACTACCTCCACAACAGCAACAACAGCCACAGAGGCAGTTTGTGGGTCAACATCGGTACACGCTAGTTGACCCTGGATCTGGTGCGCCGTCTCGTCAACAGTCACCGTCACGGCAACCGCAGCCACAGCCACAGCCACAGCCGCAGCCACAGCCACAACCACAACCACAACCACAGCCTACGTATGCAAGAGCCGCTGGGAGACCGCCTGGTCAGAGGCAGGGGTCGGGGCCGCCACAGGGGCAGTCACCGCAGGGGCAGTCACCACAGGCTCAGGTCACACCGGGCGATAGAGCTCCTACTCCTCAAGGGGCTACACGTCCCCCAGGTCCAAAACCTCCCACAACATTTGCAGAGATGGGAATTCAAGGTGTAAAATTGGAGGAAAAGGAGTGTGTGATTATGTAATGTAGGTGCATCTATGAATGCATACCATTTTTGTCGATTTTTTCGAACTCTTTCTTTCTTTCTGGCGATGTTTCAATTGTGAGCCTTTTACGTAGAATTGCACGGATGTAATGGCTAGATGTCATGTTTTCGTTTATACATGGTGTAATGCTATCATGGGCTTTACTATAATTATTGGCTATGTAGCCTGGCATCTGCGGTAATGAATGCTGCGGGATCCTCAGGCTCCATCAAGTGTGTACTTACGTCCCCGTCACGCTTCTAATTGATGGCCGTCTGGATACGCGGACTGCTGGGGCATCACATGCATGACAGTTCAGACAGTCGAATAACCAAGCTAGGTCAACGCCAGCGTTAGCAAGGAAAAACTCCTCCGCATCGTAGTACGGAGTGGGAATGAGACCATCAGCAGGGAACTAAATCCTGTAAAAACCTTCGCATTCCCAGCACGGGTGTGCTCACGTATACCTATCTTCCATACTAATCAATAATCTGCCGACAGTAAAAAAAGTTAGTGTATGGTTATCAGTAATGTATGCAAAGGAGGAAGGGAGGCGCGAGTGTCTGGTATACTAATGCAAGGATCGTGTGTAACGTGAAAGTGCAAAATCAAAACATGACGACTTGAAAGCAAATCACGGCGGTATCAAAAAAAAACCACAGAAGAGAAATTGTCCCATTCATCTTTTTTTAAAATCAGAGATCAGCACCGACAGCATCCACAACGTATAGGACCTGCTGTGGTCGGACAAATAGTCCCCTGGACTCGGATGTCGACAGATCGGATGCTGCAGGCGACGAGCTTCGCATCCGCTTAGTACGGTCTATGCCTACGGTCAACTGGTCTCCTTCTCGTTTGAGTCCGCGATTATCCCTCCCTGATCCGTTCATCCAGTCCATCTTTCGCCGTCTGTGCGTCTGATAATCATCTGCGCCAAACTCCCACTCTGACCCATTATTCCCAATATCGAAATAACGGATGCCGCCCCAGGACCCATCGTTCCATTGACGGCCGTCTGACGGGTCACCGACCCAGGCCTCCAGTGGTACTTCGATACCGACCCAGGGTCCAAGCTCGCCCTCGACTTCACCAATATATCGTGCAAATGCCTTGAAACGTTTGCGCTTCGATGACACTATGCACGGAAT